TAGTTCGTTGAAAGCGGTGTCACAGGTGGACAGGGTAATGAAGATGGCATTTAGCATGCTGGCCTTCATCAGTCAAGGCATTGAGTATCGGAGTTGGGACATTATGTTACAGTTGTATATGTTGTTGGTGAGGCCGTACTTGGAGTATTGTGTACAGTTTTAGTCACTCCGTTATGGGAAAGACATAGTTAAACTGGAAAGTGTGCAAAGAAGATTTACAAGGATGTTGCCAGGAATAGTCGGCCTGAGTTATAGGGAGAGGTTGGCCAGGATAGGACTTTATTCCTTGGAACATAGGAGAATGAGGGGTGACCTTATTGAGGTGTATAAAGTCACGAGGGGCATAGACAGGATGAATGCATATAGTGTTTTACCCAGGGCTGGGGAATTGAAAACTAGAGGGTATAGGTTTAAGGTGAGAGGGGAAAGAGTTAGGAAGGACCTGAGGGGCAACTTCTTCACGCAGAGAGTGGTGCGTATATGGAATGGGCTGCCAGAGAGAGTGGTGGAGGCAGGTACAATAGCAACATTTCAAAAACATTTGGATAGGTACGTGGATGGGATGGGTTTAGAGGGATATGGGCCAAATGTGGGCAATTGGAACAAGCTGAATGGGTGTCATGGTCAGCACGGACCAGTTTGGGCCGAAGGGCCTGTTTCCATACTGTATTACTCCACGACTGGGACTATACTCATTGGAATTTAGAAGAATGGGGTGGGATCATGTAACATTACGAAGGGAATAGATAAGATAAAAGCGGGAAGGCCGTTTCCATTGGGGTGGGTGAAACGAGAACGAAGGGGCATAGCCTCAACATAAGGGGGAGAAGGTTTAGGACTGAGTTCAGGAGGAACTTCTTCATCCAAAGGGTTGTGAGTCTGTGGAATTCCCTGCCCAGTGAAGCAGTTGAGGCTATTTCGTTGCATGTTTTTAAGGCAAACATAGATAGATTCTTGAATGATAAAGGAATTAAGGGTTAGGGTCAGCGGGCGAGTAAGCGGAGCTGAGGCCACAAAAAAGATCAGCTGTGATCTTATTGAATGGTGGAGCAGGCTACTCCTGCTCTTGTGCCTCATGTTCTTATGAAATCTGTGGTCCTTACCCATTCTGGGCCTCCATGTGACTCCAGTCACTACACAGCAACATTTACTGCCCTGCGACATGGCCCAGAGCGAGGCTCTCGGTTCACAGGGCAATTAGGGATGGGGTGGGGAGGACAGTAAATGCCAGCCTCACCAGCAGTGCACACATCCCACGCGATGGAAGACGGTAGAAAAGATGAGGGCAGGCCAGAGTGGACCCTGCCAGGGCATGGGGCCCTCCGCGAGCGAGGTTCTGGGGATGGGGATGGGGGTGGGGGGGCGTTAGCACCCACCTGTGTACAGGTGGTAGAATGGCCACCAGAGAGCGCTGTTGGGGATGTAGGTCAAGAGCGAGGCAGCATAGCCACGATAGAAACCCCTTGGGCCGTCGAGTCGGAGAATCTCCACCACCACGTCCTTGGCCCTGCCCATGGTGCCCGCCGCACGCCCCCGGGAAGTCTCTCGGAAGCGGCCCATGGCTTGGCCCTGCACCATCAGGTGCTGTGAGAGGATGTCGATGGGCACCGTGATGCTCTGTGCCACCAGTGACGCCGAGCCGCCAGCGATGAGCGATTTCACCGTGTTGCTCTCACTGTACCGCGACACGTACTGGCGGGTCAGCTCGTAGGTGGTGACGTAGCACTGGCCCGACACCAGAGTGAAGGTGTTGACCAGGAAGCCGCGGTACAGCCCCGAGATGCCCTCCGCCCGCACGATCTTGGCAAAGGCGTCGAAGGTGCCCGTGTACAGGCTCTTGCCCCTCTGCACCTGCAGGCGGGTCCGGATCAGGGTGAAGGGGTACACGCTGATCCGGATGGCCATGGTCATCAAGACCCCGAAGACGTAGAACTTGCGTTTGTCCAGGTCCTGCCACTCGATGATTGGGATCTTCCTCTTGTCGTCCATGGCTCGCGGCCTGGGGGTGGGCACCTGCTCCACCAACCGAGGTACGGGAATGTCTCAGAATCCGGTCCAACCCCTCTCCTCTGCCCAGGCAGCCATTGGCGGAGCGTCAGATTCAACGGAGGTACCTGCCAGACACAAGGCTGACTTAATTTGGTGAGCGAGGGAATTCGGTGCAGCCAGGAAGAGGTGCAGTTCTGGCCTTTTACTAGTTGATTTGAGAATGGTTGGGAGATTGTTGGGGGTGGGGGGGCACGGCTGTGACGGTGGGGGTGGGGGAGAGGGAGAGACACAACGGGATGGCAGACCATCAACACAATTGCACAGAGTAGGTGAGAAGCTCAGGTGCTGAGTTTTAACACATGGTCTCTCTAACACGTGTCAATAGTTTCAGCTCAAAGCAAGCTAGTACAAGTCAAATACACCAACATAGGAACAGGGGAAGGCCACTCGGCCCCTCGAACATGCTCTGCCATTCAATAAAATCACAGCTGATCTGATTTTAACCTGAACCCTACATTCTCACAAATCTGATGCCGTTTTGGAGGAAGTAACTAAGTAGATTGGCAAGGGCACAGCGGGTGGATGTCTTTTACTTGGACTTTAGTAAAGCCTTCAACAAGGTTCCACACGGTAGACTAACTAGTAAAGTTAGATCACATGGGATTCAGGGTGAGCCTACCGATTGGATACAAAATTGGTTTAACGCCAGGAGACGGAGTGTGCTGGGTTAGGGTTGTTTATCGGACTGAAGGCCTGTGACCAGTGGTGTTCCACAGGGATCGGTGCTGGGTCCTCTTTTGTTTCATTTATATAAATGATTTAGATGAATATAGAAGGCATGGTTAGTAAGTTTATGGATGACACCAAGCTTTGGTGGTACAGTGGACTGTAGGTTATCTAAGATTACAAAGGGATCTTGATTGATTGGGTCAACGGGCTGAGGAGTGGCAGATGGAGTTTAATTTGGATAAATGTGAGGTATTGCATTTTGGTAAAACAAACAAAGGCAGGACATATACAATTAATGGTAGGGCCTTGGGTAGTGTTGTAGAACAGAGGGACCGAGGGGTTCAGGTACATAATTCTTTGAAATTTGCATCACAGGTAGACAGGGTAGTTAAAAAGGTGTTTAGCACGCTTGCCTTCATTGCTCAGTCCTTTTGAGTACAGGAGTTGGGACATCATGTTGAGGTTGTACAGGACATTGGGGAGGCCTCTTCTGGAGCACTGTGCGCAGCTCTGGTCGCCCAGTTATAGGTAGGATATTATTAAGCTGGAGAGAGTTCAGATTTACCAGAATGTTGCTGGGAATGGAGGGTTTGAGTTGTAAGAAGAGGCTGGATAGGCTGGGACATTTTCCACTGGCACATAGGAGGTTGAGAGGTGACCTTATAGATGCTTATAAAATAACGGAGAGGTATAGATAAGGTGAATGGCAGGTATCTTTTCCCTAGGGTGGGGGATTTCAAGACAAGGGGGCATATTTATAAGGCAAGAGGAGAAAAACTTTAAAAAGACATGAAGGGCATTTTTTTTTTTTAAACAGAGAGTGGTTTGCACGTGGAATGAACTTCCAGTGGATAGCTGTGGGTGAGGTACCAGAATACTGGAGGTTGGCTAATGTGGTGCCACTATTTAAGAAAGGTGATAAGGAAAAGCCAGGGAACTATAGGCCAGTGAGCCTGACATCGGTGGTGGGAAAGTTGTTGGAGGGAATCCTGAGGGACAGGATTTACATGTATTTGGAAAGGCAAGGACTGATTAGGGATAGTCAACATGGCTTTGTGCGTGGGAAATCGTGACTCACTAACTTGATTGAGATTTTTAAAGAAATAATGAACTGGATTGATGAGGGCAGAGTGGTGGATGTGATCTATATGGACTTCAGTAAGGTGTTCAACAAGGTTCCTCATGGTCGACTGATTAGTAAGGTTAGATCACAGGGAATACGGGGAGAACTAGCTATTTGGATACAAAATTGGCTCGAGGGTAAGATTCAGAGGGTGGTGGTGGTGGAGTTGCTTTTTGAAATGAAGGCTTGTGGCCAGTGATGTGCCACAAGGATCAGTGCTGGGTCCACTGTTTTTCTATCATTTATAAATTATTTGGATGTGAACATCAGGAAGTAAGGTTAGTAAGTTTGCGGATGATACCAAAATTGATGGTGTAGTGGACAGTGAAGAAGGTTACCCCAGAGTACAAAGGGACCTTGATCAGATGGGCCGATGGGCCGAGGAGTGGCAGATGGAGCTTAATTTAGATAATTGTGAGGTGCTGCATTTTGGAAAGGCAAATCAGGGCAGGACTTACACACTTAATGGTAAGGTCCTGGGGAGTGTTGCTGATCAAAGAGACCTTGAGGTGCAGGTTCATAGCTCCCTGAAAGTGGAGTCACAGGTAGACAGGGCGGTGAAGGTGGTGTTTGGTACGCTTGCCTTTATTAGTCAGTGTGTTGAGTATAGGAGTTGGGAGGGTCATATGGCGGCTGTACATAACATTGGTTAGGACCACTTTTGGAATACTGTGTGTAATTCTGGTCTCCCTGCTATAGGAAGGATATTGTTAAACTTGAAAGGGTTCAGAAAAGATTTATAATTTGGGGGCCTATAGTACATATCCAAAAATGTCACCATCCCCTCCTTATTTCTTAGCTACATCCACATAACCTTATTGGATAATCCCTCAGTTTGGAGGGGGTGAGCTATAGGGAGAGGCAGGAGCTATTTTCCCTGGAGTGTCGGAGGCCAAGGGGTGACCTTATAGAGGTTTATAAAATCATGAAGCGCATGGATAGGGTAAATAGCGAAGGTCTTTTCCCCCCAGGGTAGGGTCACTGGTTTAAGGTGAGAGGGGAAAGATTTAAAAGGGACCTAAGGGGCAACTTTTTCACGCAGAGGGTGGTGCATGTATGGAATGAGCTGCCAGAGGAAGTGGTGGAGGCTGATACAATTACAACATTTAAAAGGCATCTGGATGGCTATATGGATAGGAAGGGTTTAAGAGGGATATGGGTCAAACGCTGGTAAATGGGACTTGATTAATTTAGGATATCTGGTCGGCACGGATGAGTTGGATCAAAGGGTCTGTTTCCGTGCTGTACAACTCTATTCTATGATTCTAAGCAGCGGACGCGGGTACAGTTCCAATGTTTAAAAGATGGTTGAATAAGTACATGAACAGGAAAAAGGTTTGGAGAGATATGAGCAGGCAGGTGGGACTAGTTTAGGCTGGGATTATGGCCAGCGTGGACTGGTTGGACCGAAGGGTGCAGTATGACTCTGCGACTCCTGCATATTCTTGACAATCTTTCACCCCCTCAGTCATCAGGAATCTATCTCCCTCTGCCTTAAAGATATTTAAAGCTTCTACATCCACTGCCTTTTGAGGAAGGGAATTCTTAAGACTGACAGCCCTCCGAGAGAGGAAAATGTTTCCCCATCTGCACCCCTTTATGTTTAAACAGTGACCGCGCACCCCCCCCACTGCCATCCCACACACAACCCGTTCTAGACTCTCTCAAGAGGAAACATCCTTTCCAAACCCAAACGGTCAAGTTCCCTCAGAATACTGTCTTACAAGAAGTGCTCAGAATTCTAAAGAGTCAATAGAAACACAGAACACTGGAGAAACTCAGCAGGTCTAGCAGCGTCTGTGGAGAGAGAGCAGAGAAACAGGTAACGGTTCAAGTCTGGCAGGACTCTTCCATCACAACTGGAGCATTCGGGAATGCACTACCTGGAACTGTAGTGGAGGCAGGTTCAGTTGAGGCATTCAAGGTTTTTTTTGGGGGCGGGGGTGAATTTGGATGATTATTCGGATAGAAATGGTGACGAGATATGGGGTACAAGCAGGCACCCATCCAGGCAAGTGGGGAATATTCCATTGCACCCCTGGCTTGTGTCTTGTTGATGGTGGATAGGCTTTGGGGGGCGGGGGGGGGAGCGCTGTGGGTGCAGTCAGGAGGTGAGTTATTTGGTACAGGATTCTCAACCTGCTCTTGTAGACACAGTCAGGGTAACGAGAGAAGAGAGAGCTGATAGTGTGGTAGGTGTAATTTATCTGGAATTGTCAAAAGGTCCCAGTTAATCTAGCTTCAAGAGGAGGACGTGCGGTATTTAACTGGTGCTCTCTAAGAGAGGGCAGTGTCCACAATTTACATCGGGGATCATGAGACAAGAACACATTTCATAAACTTACAGAACGCACCACACTGCGGTGGGTGGAGAGGGTTAGAACTGAGCAGCTCTGTGATGAATTACAGGGGGATGTGATACTGCTATGGGAAAGGGCCGATAATTGGCATAAGCAGCTCAGCAGAAATACATGCAAGGTCGCCTATTTTGGCAGGAACCACAAGGACAGTACTTTAACAGTTTGGAAGAGCAAAGTCCAGACAGATGACAAAAATCAAGGACTCGCCAAGCACATAAGTGGTAAACATTATGCCACAAACGTCAGCAAGACACACACAAGGATTTCTCTCTCTTTCACTCAAAGATTTGAACAGAAAAGCAAACGTGTGGTTCAAAAGCAAGACCTGGGACAGTATGAAACCACACCGGCTGGGCACCACATAGTCAGGACTATGAGGCACAATGAGAGTGCAGTGTTAAACAACATAACGTCAGAAATGTGTGGCTTTCCGGGGCAGAACAGAACGGCAAGGAAGTGACAAAATACAAACCGCGACTCAGGAAAAAAATGGTTTGAATAAAAAACAAGGCAGGGAGAAAGCTCCCTCAAGTGGGGAAAGCACAGAACAAGAGGAAGCAAAAACGCACAATGCAGTCACAAAGAAGGTGGCACCTCAGTGTTATACAGCGACAGACCCTGTCCCCACCGGT